CTCTCTCTCGTTGTCTCTCTCTCCCTCCCCCTCTCCCTCCCTCACTCCCTCCTTCCCTCTCCGTTCCTTGACTTCTCTCAAGGTTTGTCACTGACAAACCTCCCCCTCCCATCTGTACATACTCACCTGTGACGATGCCTGCTTGTCCCCGACCCGTCCACGAAGGTGCTGCTACGCCTTGCTGTGACGATGCCTGCTTGTCCCCGACCCGTCCACGAAGGTGCTGCTACGCCTTGCTGTGACGATGCCTGCTTGTCCCCGACCCGTCCACGAAGGTGCTGCTACGCCTTGCTGTGACCGTCAGCTAGTAGTAACTCCCTCGCAACGTCCCTCCGCTACGTCTTCCCGTTTCGTCTCTCCTCTCGTGCCTCTTTCTGTTGTTCCGTGCGTGCATCTCTGAGGACTTTGACTCCCACTGAAGTCGTGTTGAGGCTACTGTTGTATCCGGGGAACGCTGATTTATTGTGTTTGTTTGAAAATCGTGAAAGGACCAGTAGAATCTATTGTGTTATCTTTGATTTTTACGGATAGGACTTCACTGCTTTTTGAGATTCTCGGTAGTTTGACAGAAGAAACAGTCATGGACAAACTGAGCTTGGATAAGATCTTAAGGTGACAGTGCTGATTTTAATTCCCTCAGAAACATTTTTGAGTTTCTTCTTTGTCCCTTTGGAATAAGAATAAGATGAAGTATATCCTTATTTATGTTCAGTTGAAAGAAACTGGCACGGCTTTGTTGAAACAACTTTTACGGGTATTTAAGGACTGAAAATAAAAAAATACCCCAACGTGAACCTGTTCTAAAGGACTCAGTCTCTTCTTCTGTTAGTAAGAGAAGATAGTTAGTGAGAGCTTGAGTAGTCTGCTCCTTCTACACCTTTAAAAAAAATATATATTTTGGGACCAGCATTGCTAGTGTTGTCCTCTTGTCTACTGGTTGAGATGTATCCATTAATGTTCTGACCCGAAGTTAAATATGTCTCTGCGATTGCCAAGGAGCTGCTAAGTACCACTGTAAATCGCACCTTTCCGGTTTTATATTCCTTCCAAAAGACTCAGATTGAGTGCATGATTCCTGATTTTTGTCTTCAACTTCTTTCAGACTGTATGCAAATGCGGTCATGATGGTCTTCTCTGTGGAAATCTGCAATTTCGGGGGCTGAAGAATGTTTTCTTTTGTTTCCTTTCTTTTTCTTTTCCCTTACACTCCTCCGCTGTCCACTGTTGCCCCTGCCCAACTCCCCCACTCCAACCCCACTCTTTTTTTATTGGCATCTGTGGTGTATCACTAGCTCATCCCAGCCCATCACACCCAGCAACAGTAACGTACTTTAAATGCAACCATAACCATAAAGGTCACATTTAACTTTGATTCCTTCAAGTCATTATTATAGATTATTATAATCATGGTTTATTTTATTCACAGGCAGCCTGAGGCATCTCTGGACAAAATGGGTAAACAAAAGACAAGTTTCAGTATAGTCAAATACATCTTCTTTGGCTTTAACATCTTTCTATGGGTAAGTTCACATACTTTCAAGCCAAAGCTGCTCTTACGATCACCTGTCCCAGAAGTACTTCTACGCAAACAACCACTTCTCACTTTCCCCTTTGAGGTTTTCTTTTGTGTGTGTGTGTTAATTTTTTACCCTGTAACTCTCTTTCTCCTTTACTTAAGTGAGAAGAACACTGTTTGAACTCACATTTTGTCCATTTTTGCTACACACGATTTCAAATGGAATTATGGTGGTGTTGAATTTCGTTTTGACAGGAGGTTTTGAATTTGCCCAGCTGTCAAGGCAGTTCAATAATTATCTTTTCGTCACATTGAAATTGAAATGTATTTTAGCTATTTTTGACGATGTATACTGCTTCAATTTTAAACTTGATTTTTAAATTGTTGTTGGGACAAAATATGGGGCTTAAGGAGGAGTACGGGCATCTAAGGGTGTTTCAATAAAATGTGAAATAGTTTAGATTAAATTAAAAAGAACTTTGTATATTACTCACTAAGAGTGGAATGGGGGCTGGGGGGGGGGGGGGGGATATAATGTTCATATTTTGGTACAAATTAGTGCAAAAAAGTACATGGAAAATATAAGCCTTCCTTTAGAGGAGGTCCAAGACTATTTTGCTTTATAAATTATATTTGCAACAAGTGTCCATTAATGGGCAAACGTAAAAGAAGAAAGTAATCTGCTTTATTTTTAAGAATGAACAACTTTGTAAAAATAGGGTGTTTTCAAACACAGGACACTTGAAACAAATGTTTTAAATGTAAGGGAGCAGTGTGCATTGAGTCTGTTTAATGCTTTATTTTCCTAAAATGTTCCTCTTCTTCTTAATGGCATTACTCTTAAAGAGGGGTATCTATCATAATACTGGACTGTCCTGCATAGTTCATCTGCTGGCCCATGCAGCTTCACTGCACTCTATACTAAGGTATAAAATAAGCACCCCCCCTTCCCCCGTATTAATTTTCAGGGTTTTTTTGCGTGCACCCCCGCTCCTTATTCCATACCCCCTGTTTATTATTTTCCAGCTAGCCACGACTGATGATCATGTGAAATAATATATGTCTAGGTATCTGAATGAAACTTCTTTTTTTTTTGTGTGTGTAAATGGCAAATTACCCTCAATATTAGTACTGGTACCGGATTTGCTACCTCAATTTTCTGTGCATTTAAAAAACTTTTGTACATTGGTTTATATTTTGTTATGAAATTGGTTTGTTCCTAAATGGAAAAAGTTGTCACAGTGACTTATTAATATCACTAAAATTTCATGATCTCTTTCTCTTTTATTCACTGAAGGAGAAATAAAACATATATATAGTTTGTTTCTACTAGTAGAGGGGTATGAGGTTGAATGTGTCCCCCCCCCCCCCCCCCTGCCCCTTTTATTCCGACCACCCGTTTTATTCGATACCTTACTGTCCTGTTAATGGGGTTTGCCACATTTCATGCCTGAGGGCTGTGTGTGTTCTGGGAAAGTGCGTTCTCCAGTTTGGTCTTCTCTGCCGTGAAATTTTGGCGACTGTACAAGTTTAAAACATTTTAATGGAATGTTTGAGTCTAGATTTGTTCCCTCCTTTTTTCTGTTTATCTTCCACCCTTAGTTACAACTCAGCTGAAGCTTTCTCTCCCTTTTTCTCTCTCTTTATGTTTGTAGTTGGCTGGTGCTCTGGTGTGATTTGCTTCTTCTTTCCCACCAAACATCTATTATTATTATCTTTCCTCCTTATTTTCTTTGTATGTTACTCTCTAGTAATCTTTGGATCTTATATGATCTATTTGTGTTGCAAGTGCTGTAAAACTTACAAATACTTTTAAAATTAAATCTCTCTCTCTCTCTCTCTCTTTCTCCCCCTGCAGCTTCTGGGATGTGGTGTCCTGGCAGTGGCCATCTGGCTGTGGGGCACCCGCGGCACAAGTGTCTCTGTCATCCCGACCTACTCGTTCCTCAGCGCTTCCTCCCTGTGCATCATCGCTAGCGTCATTATCCTGGTCATCGGCTTCATGGGTTGCTGTGGGGCCTTCTTGGAGAACCAGTGTTTGCTCATAGGGGTAGGCATCGCTAAAGATGGACTGCTTAGTGTAAGACTCTGCCACCTGTCATTTAAAAAAATAACATGGTATACGACAGATTCCTACTCTGAGCAGCTGAGATACAGAATAGTCCACTTGACCAAACATGGTTAATCCAAAAACTGTAAACCGAAAGAAAAGAAAATCGATTATTGTTTTTATTTCTATATGAACAACTGCTCTAACCCAAAAACTTGGCTAGCCAAAGAAAATTTGGCAGTCCTGCAGAGATATGCCGACTCCACTGTGCATGTTTTGTTTTTGACACATTGATTTTCATTTAGTTTCTTTGAACCTTTTCACTTTTTATGTTTTTGTTAAGTAATTTGTCCCTTGTTTTCTATTTAATGTAACAGTTTTTGTCATCACCAATGTTAGAATAAGATTTCAGCATTTTAATTCCCTTTGATCTCTTGTAACCAGTATTAATCAGCACTCTGAGCTCCTTTCCTAATGGCTTAGAGCACTATATTTTATAATGGGTTTTTTTAGTAGTATTATTATTTTCATCGTTATTATTATTATCTTTTTTTTTTTAAATTGGTAAGTTGTTACGGCGCTCCCAACTGCATAAGGTCGGATGAGCACGCTGGCAATCGAAGCCTACTTTTATCGATTTTAGACCATCAAGGGATCTTTAACATGCGCAACTTGCACAGGTGCCCTCCGAGATTTTTCACCCTTGTCCGAGAAGGTTAGGTGTAGATCTTTCTTACCAGAAGATCAGGGGGTGTGGCTGAAAGAAAGCAGCAAGAAGGAGCCAAAGAGAAGCTGTAGAAAGAGTCAAGAGCCCAGAGGAGGGGGCAAAAGAGGTGAGGGGTGGGGACAGAAAGTGGAGACGAAAGCACTCGACGGAATATGGCTAGAGAGCGGGAAAGTAGGTGAAATGAGACAATTTTAGAGAAGAAATTTTTTCCATGGATACCCGGATTCGAACCCGGGACCTTTGAATGAGAGGTGAACACCTTAACCTCTGGACCACGAGAGCCCCCATTATTATCTGTATTATTATTGTTATTGTTATTATTATTATTATTATTTTCTCTTTCAGTATTTTGTTTTGGTCTTGCTCGTGTTTGCCCTGGAGATCACAGCTGGCACCCTGGGTTTTGTCATGAAGGATCGGGTAAGTGTGTTAGCCTTAAGTAGGCCTACTACAGAGATCAGATTGTTCCATGAATTAAGTTGTTGAAGTAACAAACGTCCATGTCAGTGTAGAGTTTTCATGTCAACTGTTCAATGTAGGACTCAGTTTTATGTCACTCTTCAGTGTGATGGAGTCTGACACAAAGGAGTCAACATGTGCTTTTCTGTTATTAGAGCAACTCCACCCCATGCTGATGATTACAGTGAGTCTTTTGCTTCCCTGCTTGAATGTCAGGAGCTTGCATATATTACGATGCTTGTGGAAAACGATAATGGCAAACTTTGCTCAGCCTTCTGAGAGAGGTTCTGTGTGAGGTTTAATTTTGTCTGTAAATGTCAGCCTTTCTGGTTTTCGTTTTCTTTCTTGTTGATATGAGGGAAGGGCAGTGTTCACCAAGACTTTCCTGCCAGTCCAAGGTGCTTTTAAATCTATTTTAAGTGTTTTTATTTCTCAAAGCAAACATTTTCCAATTGTGTTCCTATGTCTTCTCTCAGATGGATCCCCCCCCCCCCCTACTTGTTCCCTTTAAGTGGAACTCCATACTTGTTCCCTTCAAGTGAAACTCCAATGCAGAATGATGAATTGTTTCTCCTGTCTGTTTTCCAATGCAGGTGCATAAGATAATCCACAGCGAGATGACTGGTGGCATCCGCTACGACTACCGCACAGAGGTGCAGATTGAGACAGCTGACCACAACAACACTCTGGTTGACCGTGACTCCAAGGGCTGGTCCACGATGCTGGACCTAGTGCAGAAAGATGTAAGTTAGGGTTTAAATAAATGAATAAATAAATTTGCCTTACTTGTCTGACTTCAAAGAGAAAATAGCTGTGAGTAAAACTAACACACCTGTGGGTTTCATGTCCTTGTCACTTTGCACTTGTACATGAGGGCAGTGATAAGTAGTAAAGGAATCAAGAATGTGTATGGTGTTAAATGACACTGTCATACTGTCTCACTCTATTTCAAAGGGTGGTTGCTGGGTGCTGTGGTATGATCTTCTTTTTTCCTATCAAAGATCTATCAGCCTTATCTCCCCTCCATTTTTTTGGTGTTTGTTACTCTCTTGTAACACCTCTTATCTTCGGCACTTATCTGACCTAATTGTGTTGCAGGTGCTGTAAAATGCTCACTAAAACTAAAACGCTTTTTTCAGCTTGGGTGCTGTGGTGTGGACAACCACACAGACTGGTACTATGTGCAGGCCTGGCCCAATGAGCAGAGAGTGCCTGAGTCGTGCTGTATTCGTCCTACCAAGGACTGCGGTATAGGGGGCTCTGACCTTTGGTACGATAGGGTGAGTTCACATGCTATCATGTTATGTGTGGAAATGATCTCTAGAGACTTCAGGTTCCAATCCACTGGAATTTCACCTTTTTTCTGTTGTTGTTTTTGTTTAAGTTTCTATGGTTTTCTAAATTTCTTATACTAGTTTTGTTCTATCGCAGACTGCCATGATGTACCACCCCTTTTTGAATCCCTGAACTTAATAAAAAAGAATGTGATATTTGGTAGAATTTGGATGTCTGATGAACCATCAGTTCAATTTTAGATGCAAAATGTGTGTATGCTGCTACAATTTTACCCCACTTGTAAACCTTAATCCCCCAGTCAGCTACTTTTTCTGTGAATGCTACCCACTAGATGGCATTTTTATTACAGAAGATACTCTTTAATTTGAAACTGCTATCACTTTCACAGCATATTTTTACTTTGCCGTTATCGGTTATGCTGCAAATGTTTTTGGAAATTTAGTAGCTTAATGGGTTGTTTGATAGATCTGGTTAAAGTAATAAGAGTAATAGCCTTGAACATTTTCAGCCTCAGGAGGCTTTCATAGGTTAGGTTGATTTTTTGGGGGATTTTTTATGTGCTCAAGGCACTAAATGGGTTGTGGGGGGGGGGGGGGGGAGTATTTGAAGTGCTTCTCCTTTTTACTATAACTTAACTTAGCTTTCTTGTTTGTGATTTTGATAAAGAAATTTCCTCATGATCCAATGGTTTCTTCTTACTGCTAAGACGATCACTTGTTATCGAGAAGAAAAGTGGCAATTGTAGATCGATGGTCCTCTTTAATTATATTATCATAATGATATAGAGAAAAAAACCACAGGGAGGGAAGTGAGAAGTGGTTGTGTGTACAGATGATTGTTTTGACAGGTCGTCATAGAGCAGGTTTGACTGTACTTGTAGATAATATACATTTAGTGGTGCTAACTTTGGACAGAGTTTTGGAGGGTGTTACTGGTGGTTCTTGCTTCTGAATTGTCGCTCTGTTGTTTCTGCCAGTCTTTTCTGCCTCTTCACATCTTTTGATGATTTGTTGTCAGTCCATTTACTTTTTTTTATGCTGAGCCACAGAAAAGGAAATGATCCTTCTTTCTATTTCTTTCCCTTATACAGGGCTGTATTGAAGAAGTGGAGTACTGGTTCACTCGCAACATGTATGTGCTTGGGGTCACTGGGGTCACCGTTGGATCTGTGCAGGTGGGTGATTTTACGCCTTGAGAACTACATTATTGACTGTTTTTCTTTTTCTTCTGTTTTAATAGACTATTCAAGCATCTGTATAACTTAATGTCAGTACTTTTGTCTCTCTTACCTTTCTTGTAAAAGTTACTGAGCAGCAGCCATGAACAGCTGGTGGCTCCATTGGGAGAGGAATGTTAAGATTAGTAAGAAGGTGTTAATCAAGTTGGGGTGAGGGTCAAAGTTACAGGATATGCTGGGGTCCTTGCAATGGCAAGTCAAGTAAAGTGATCTCAGATATTGTCATCCTTTGTATTTTATCTGAAAGAATTTGTTTTCTACAACAACAAAAAAAAGAATATAATGTACGTTTTTCTCATTTTTACGAAATGACAAGTCGCCAGGTACATCTGCTTGATGCACGTGATATTTTTCCCTGAAATAACATTATTGGTTGAGGTTAGTGTTAATATCAAGCGACAGACCCTACTGTTTTGATATTTTCATCTTTTTGCCACCATCTGCCCTCAGATTCTTGCCATGGTTGCTGCCATTGCTCAGTTTTGCTATATACGCAGCAAAAGATTTCCCCTGTGACGGAAGGGAGGCTAGCAGTATTTGTCAAGAACTCTGAACTCATCAGTGCTCTCTACCACCTACATGATAAGACTACTTGTGTTCATTTTTCCACCTGGGATTTGAGAGTCACAGGCTGTTTGCCGCGGTTGTAAAAAAAGTGGACTTGGTGTTTTACAATTGATGTTTCATCCAAGCACTGGCTTTTGTACATGTTTTCAACTTTAAGTGTCTAGGAAACACTGGCTGTGTCATACTTTCATTGTGGATCCATTCCAGGAGTCGTTGCGGTCAGGTTGTTGAATGACTATGATTTTAGCATCTGCTGTTGTTTTTACCTCTTTTTTTTTTTTTCCATGTATTTATTTATTGCTCTTTGAGAGTGAAGAAAGGCTACAAAGAAGACATGTTTACAACGGAGGCACATGTGACTATGCTTGAAGCTGATGTACTCTTAAGTGTATTTATTCTGAGTAGAAAGTTAACAAGTGCATTGTGCTGTGCGTCTTTAAAAGGGTTGTTTTGTGGCTGTGAAATTAAAATTTCAGCTATTTATTTTTTCTTCATGTGCATCTCGGGCAGGATTTAGCAATATCGCGACTGCCCTGTGCAGTAGAAGTTGCTCCAGTGAGATCACTTTTTGATTTAAAATTAAATCTACCTTCAAAATATGTACTTGTGCCACGACACGGTGGAATCAGGCTCTCGTCAATTTTTGGACACATAATGTTATTGAAATCACCTTAAAGCTTGTTCATTTGTCTTACTTTTGATGAAAAAAATACCCATTTATCTTGAATAGAAGTCAAGATATTTGCAATTGAAGGAAGTGGTGGTCGTCTGATGTCCAAAGTAAAATTAGCTAGAAAATGGCGACCAAGGTTTGGTGACTTCCTAAGCTTGAGTGTCCTTGGAAACTGCAAATTTACATTTATTGTGTGCCCTTCATCAACGTTTTTCAGTATAATCCACATCAAAATATGTCGTTAAATACACATAAAAGGAGTAGAGCCGATAAAAATAAATTGATATAAATTGCTCAACATGTGGAAAAATGTCCATTTCTCCGACTTCATTATTATTTCTCACATTTAGTAATGATAAGAAAATACTTAGGTTTGAGAGAAAAGTCTTTGTATTCAGTTAATCTTCCTTGCCCAGTGATGTAAATCCACATTACGTTAAGAGAAACTAATATGTATATCATCTTAAACAGTTTGGTGTATGAAGGTGTGACCAAACTTATGGATGTTCCATATTCACCTCTCACTCTTAGCACAGAGTGCCAAAGTGAATATTTAAAATGTTTGCATGGCTGGATGTGTTGTTGTTAGAAAACAGATGGAAAGCAAGCCATATGGTCTATGTTTTAAGAAATTGGTCCCAAAATAAGTTAAAGGGACTGCCCTGTACTGAAACTGATTCAGTGAAGAACAGGTACGAAGCTGTATGCGACCTTGATGTTTGAAAATCTTTTGTGTTCTACCTTTGTATTGTTTTTTGGGGCGCTTTTTGTTCCATTTTGTGTATGTGATATTGAGATGCGTGTATTCTAGTGGTTTTTAGGATGGCTTACTCTATCCCTGTAATTTTATCAGGGAGATTTGAAATAGTTTTAGAAAAAATGTAGTCATTGTATAGTCATATTTACTACAAAAAGTTGAAAGAGACTGAACATGTAGTAATTGCACTGTGGTGTTTGTCACTGAAAGATGAATGGTGGCCCATTGTCCTGAAGCTGACTGAGTTTCACTCTGCTGGAAAGTGATATAATAAATACTCCCACCTAGTATCTGTCTGGTGAATTAACTGTTGATTACTTGCCACCAGTGATGGAAATGATGAGATGTTGTTCTTGATCATACATCAAATATCTTTGTGTAGTATTTTGTGTCATGACTTTGAAACCAGTACCGTACACATTTATTTTCTATGAAATTTGCAGCCAGTGAATAAGGCTGAAAATAAGTACTCTGTGCTTTCTTTAGCAGGACTTAAACAAGGGTTACTGGTTTAGTTACGGGAAATTTAATGTTTTCAAAGAGAGTTTTTGAGCCCATTATTTTAACTCAAAAAACTGGTATTTTTAAACTAGTTTTTTTTTAATATTGAAAATGAATAGTCCCAACTTTTTATACCTCTTTCTCAGTGAACACTGTATTTTGATGTATGCAGATAATCATCAGCATTAATGTCTGAGCTAAATGTAATTTTTTTTTTCTTTTACTGCTGTGTGAAAGTTCTTCCAAATGAGATGAATACGAGTTTCTATATATCGAAATAAGGACTCCATGCTAACAAATTTCAGTTGTCATGGTTTTTGTTCACTTACCCCTAACATTTAACTTTGTACTTTAGGGCTGCGTAGGGTGAGAAAAAATGTGGTTATGCGTGCATGTGTATGTGATCTTCTGAGTGACTTTAACTCTTTGAAGGCACACCCTCTTTCCCTCTGTCGATACCCTGTGACACTCCTTTTTTGCCATTTTATACCAGATCACCATTTTTTTCCTATCAACAGTACAAAAATCACACTTACACCACTAAAAAGTAAAATTTCTTTATTTTTCTCTCATACCAATCAGTCATACATTCACAATACCAGTCTTACCTTGATCAAGGCTGCAAGATCACTATAGTTGCCCTCAAAACAAAATTTTTTTTACGAGATGAGACTTGGGGGTCAGGTATATAATCCATAAGAAAGAATCTTGAAATCACATTGTTATTGTCAAAATATGTTCCAGCACATTTAGTACACACACACAGTTTCCAGGAAAGTGTTCTTTCAATGTTTGAAGGTTCCAATGATAGAAAATTTGGATAACTGATAGTTACAGCAAAAAAGTACCAAGCGTTCCTTGACAAAGAAAAAACAAATGATGGCCCTACTAACTGTCACATATTTAGAAGTAGGCCTGCTAATTACAGTAAGCAGCGAAGACATAGAGGCTTGCCACATTGTTCGCACTCCATGTCGGTTGGTCCTTGCTTTTTCTTGCGGAGTTCTTCACCTGTTGCATACCATGCAGTTTTTGTACTGTTTTTTTTCCACTTTGAAGAAGGGAAGAGGGACAGGGTTGCACATGTTCTTGACAAATTTGTCAAGTCTCCCTCCTCTCTTTGCGCACCATGTTGTGCAGAATGTGCGCTTTTACCGTGCACAAAGTGAGGAAGGGAAACATCAGTTTCTTCCACTTCTTGAGTGTCTTTCTGTGTAGTGGTAGGTAGGATGTGAGCTGGTCAGAATGGTCTACACCCCCCATGTTATATGTGTTGTCAATTACGGCGGTAGGCTTCCTTTTCTCCTCGGCCCTGGTGCGAACAGTCACCATCTCTTGGCCTGTGTTTTGTTGTAAGCAGGTCGACATCTCTCTTGTCCTGCCCCCAAATTGCCATCAGTTTCCCTTTGCGTCTACTAAAATCTTGTTGTCCTCTTTGTAGCTTTTGTGAAATGAGATCCTTCGGCATTCCCACTCTGTTGACTCGAACAGTGCCAACCATGTGAGTGTTTCTTTGGAGAAGCTTGAAACCTAACTCAGGGCAGCAGTAGTAATTATCGACATAAAAGCTGCAGCCTTTGTCTAAAAGTCCTTCCGCGAGTCGCATGCTTACATCTGTGGCTTTGTTGCTCACTCCCGGCTGAATGCAGTAAACTTCCATATTCCATATGTACCCCCTGGCACTCTCACACAGTTCGTATAACTTCATGCCCCACTTAGTGGGTTTGTCCTTCTTGTAGACACGAAACAACAGGCATCCTTTCCAGGGACAGATGGCTTCGTCAAAAGAGATTTTCTCTTTAGGGGTGTATAAGGCCTTGAACGTGGTGTTCATATGTTAAAAAAAAACTGTCTCACCTTGTAAAGCGGGTCATGACCAGGCTGACCTCTTGGCACTGACGTATTGTTGTCATTCATGTGATAAAAGGCAAGAATTGCCTTGAAGCGCTCCCTTTTTATGAGGGTGGCAGCGAATGATGCTGCTGCTGACAGGTCTTTGCTCCAGTATTCAGTGAGAAGTGGTTTCTTCACAAGACCTATGTGAATCAGAATAGCAAGAAACTTTTGAATCTCATTTTGGTCACGGGTTTCCATGTCTTGAACATTGACCGTTTGGATAAATGCGCCCCTCTTAGTTCCTTCTCGTGAATAGCGCCTCTTGCGTACAAATTTGTCTCTTTTTTCATATGTTTTATCACATCATTTGTTACCATCAGTTCATGGAAGAACAGTGGTGAAGCATCATCAGGCACATCAAACTTTAGTCTCGGTTGACTGGTGAAAGGGAAAGTTGCCGGAAATTGTCGAATGGTTTGAACCCACTCCTCACCATTGTCCTCTTTTTCATCCTCATTATCGTCATCTTTTTCCATTTGAACTTTGCACACGTTTGGAACAGTCTCATCTCCACCCCTACTCATTCTAGGTGTCTCCTGCTTGGGCCTGGTCTATCATTGTCACTGTCACTGGAGTCGACTGAGGGCCCGTCGCTATCGCTGGAATTATTTGATCTAGACGTAGATCTACCGACCAATGGTACAGATTTATCATCACTATCATCTGAAATTTCTTCATCTTACTCTAAATCTAACTCCTCATCATTGCCATCATCTATAAAAAAAACTCCAAAGCTTCTTTAGTCCACTTCAAACCACGTCGCCTGGAGCTCGTCATTTTGGATAGAAACTGCGACATTTCGTGCGAAACAATGGGCAAAACAAATGCCATGCAAAGCTATCCTAATTCGAAAGCAAATAAAGGGGAATCAACCAAATTATAGGGGTTTGGACAAGCTTTCTAATGACATAGGGATTGTCCACCTTAGACCACTAGTTTGGCAAATAAACACATTTGAAATCGTCAGTGATCTGCTGACACGGCAACAACGGTAGATTCCCCTGTCAGCTGACGCGTCTTCAAAGAGTTCAGAAAGAGATTGTTGATGATACTTGAAAATGTTGCTTAAAAAAGGTTCTCTTTTTAGGTTTCCTGTCAATTGCTTGTACCTCTGTTCACTCAGTTAATGTCATGCTGGACCACATTGTTGATGACCCTAGTTGAAGTCCCTTACCAGGCATTTTTTAGTTTTTAAATTTTGGTTTGTCTTGGGATTTTGCTTGGCTGTCTACCCACCTTACTCAAGTTGTATCACAAATGAATGTTGATTTTTGAAGCCCTGTCTTTTAAATGATCTGTCAGTGTTTGTATGGATGTTGGACCATAACAGAATAACTATACCACACTATTCAGTGATTCAGTAATATTGAACATTTATTATTTATTGTCTTAGGCATTGAATACTGTTCTGTCACACAGAATGGTTACTAGTGGTGAAAGGGTGAACAAAGGTAAGGTAAGTGTTCGTAATTGGCTGCATTTGTGCTTTAGGAGTTTTGGAACACTCAGAAATGTTGGAACGTTTTGTTCAAATTTCTCAATTGTGCCTTTTTTTCCCCACAACAGTAAAACACTCCCTTAAAACGTTACCTGGTTATAGCACAAATATTTCATTCAGCAATCACATGGATTTTGTTATTGCTGAATTTGATTTTCTAGAGGGTTGTGAATAAGTTATCCTTTGCTTTTGTAAGCAGTGAACTGATTGTCAAGTTTTTCTTGTTGCATTGATATGAATGTCATTTTACGTGTGTTTTATATAACACCTTTTGAAATTGCGATCGTAGTTTTGAGTATGGAAATATGATTAATGCGGTCACTGGGGTTGTTTTTTTCTTAATGTAATGTGACTGCGATTGCTAGCGGTGTGCTGATGGTAGATTAT